CTGTCTTCTCCCTGTCTTTTGGCTCATGTTCAACCTGCCAATATCCACTGGATAGGTCCATGGTGCTGAACCAGCAGGAGCCTGATAAGCTGTCAAGCGCCTCTGCTGGGCGTGGCAGGGGGTAAGAGTCTTTGATGGTGGCTGCGTTAAGCTTACGGTAATCTATACAAAATCTATAGGTATCGTCCTTTTTCCGCACCAAAACAACTGGAGAGGACCAGGGGCTGTAGCTCTCCTCAATGATGTCCTGTTCAAGGAGCTGCTGGACCTGCCTGTCTACCTCTGCTCGGATGTTTGGGGAGGCCCAGTATGCCCGCTGCTTAATTGGAGGGGTGTCCCCAGTCCTGATGCTGTGTTTAACCAGTGCGGCCATAGTCCTGATCATGTGTACTAAATACGTCACAGTACGATGAGAGCAAAGCCTGGAGCTTTTGTTTCTGGTCAGTGGTCAAAGCAGAGTCATTTAGATTATCATCTGGCAGTAACTGTTTAGTGGACTCAATCTGGGTAGTAACTGCATCTACATTTGTTTCAACTATGCAGTAGTCATTGTCTTGGCCTAAGGGATAAAAATCACCTAGTTTAGTGTCACTGGGTATCTGTAAGTCAGAGGTAGTTGGATTCATGACTCTAACATAAGTCATTCCCGCCTGAACTGGAGCAACAGTGCGTGCGGAGAGTAATCCTTGGGAATAGGGTGGTCCTGGCTCAATAACACCTATATAGTCAGTGTCAAAATCAGGCACACCAATGGTGGGTTGGACTTTAACTAGAACAGTCAGTTGTGACATTGCAGGCACCAGGAGTGGTGTCACAGTAATGGCGTTACAACTCAAGGGGGCTGTCTCTGTAGCAGACAAAAGTGGAACCCTGGCACGAGTACCTACTTTGAAGATGCCGTCTTTCAAATCTAAAACAGGAAAGTGTGCAAAGAGAAAGTTCCAGCCCAATATGACAGGCTGTGTAACATTCCTGACTACCTGGACAGTATGTGTGAACATTTCACTGCCTAACCTCATGTTCATTGAGAGAGTGCCGAGATTGTCTCGGTCGTCACCAGTCACAGCTTTAGGGACAACGTGAAAAAGTAAAGTTTTTGTTCTCAGAGAGGGAATGGACATTCTAAACGCTTCACTAATCAGTGAGATGTCTGAACCAGAATCTATGTATACTTTAGTAGCAACATTCTCAATAATGGCCAGTACATTGCGGGTGAATGTCTTATGTCTGGTTTGTTGTATTGAACTGAAGTGGGCCTCGGCACTAGAAGCAGACACTTGGCCCTCAGTGTCTACTGCCAATCTTTTCCCTGACTGTAGTGGTCTTCACTAAAGGTCACATGAGGGTCACTATCATATTGTCTTTGCCTATCCCTGCCTGAGTGTGCTGAGGGGGATCTGGGTCTACCTGTATCAAAAGTAGAGTCACAGTCATAGTCATGGTAAGGGGAGGGCCTGTCACCATGGTAATGAGAAAAATGCCATCTCTCTGGGCTGCGGGGTCTGGAGTGCCTCTCGTAGCTGGAGTGATGATCCCGGTGAGGAGGAGGAGGAGGAGGAGAAGGTCCTGCAGAATGCCGACGGTCACGGTGGTCTGGTGGGCAGTGGCGATCACGATGGTCTGGTGACAGCCGATGGTCGCGGTGGTCCGGTGAACGCCTGGAGAAGCCGTAGTCTCTGTGGGACCTGCTGGACTGGTGATAGGTGGGTGTAGAAGAGCGGGCCTCTCGGACAGGAGACATGGATGGGGTGCGTCGATACCTTTCTCTGCCGCGGTCGCCTCTGGAGTCAGAATGGTGATATCCGCATTTGGAAAAATCGCTGTGGGGAGCACGACTTTGTCTGGCATGGCTCACATCATGTCCTTGTGCAGCAGCATGTAACTTCAGAGACCGAACATCTCTGGAAAGTTGCTTAATGGCATCAAGCAGTTCATCAGAGCGATCCGCCTGGTTCTTCTCATGTTTGGTAGAGACCATGGCAGAAAGTGGCTCGTCCCTGGCCACAGGCGCTGTTGCATATGATTTATTAGTCAGTGGAAGTGGAGGAGGAAGTAGTCTTAAAGGTTGTATAGAGGATTTTCCAAGGAACGAGAAATCCAGCGACTGTTTGTCCTTTTTCAAATGTTGCGCATGCGTGAAACCACCCCCCCTCCCCTACAGCTCCCTACGTAGAAACGCCTTCTCCCGCCTCCTCTTTACGCCAGAAACAGGTTTGTTTACAGCCGGTGAGCTGCACATGACTTGTAAACAACTAACTACAGTGTTGGTTAGGCAAGGCGGAGAAGTGAGGAGCGGGGGGAGCGGGTGTGCGGACATTTCGTTCGCGGACGAGAAGTGAGGAGCAGGGAGAAGAGCGGAGCAGGGAGAGAGGAGAGAGAGAGAGAGAGGGGAGCGGTGCGCGGAGATTCCGTGCCCGGAGAAGTGAGGAGAAGGGGGAAGAGCGGAACGGGCAGCGGGGACAGGAGTAGGAAAGGGGAGCAGAGAAAGGTTGCGCGGAGATTCAGTGCGAATGAACTAGCTACAACACGCAGCAGCAAGCGGACTCTTTCTTTGCCTTGAAAATTACGTTTTCAGACATAGGATATCGCTTTCGTGTCCTGAAAAACGTTTGACTAGCTCTTGGAAATAAAGTACGTTTTCATAATAAGCAGAAGTTACCTGTCCAGGAGTAATTTGGCGACCAATGCGTCAGTCTTTAGACCCTGCGTCTGCTTCAGTCGCGCCATCGCTGGAATGAATCTACAAGAATCACCTTAGTTTGGCTTCGCTGCTTTTCCCCTTGTCTTCTTCTTTCAGCGACCTCAAAAACGGACTTTCTTTTGCGGCTAACTGCTCCTGTCTGCCATTGCAACAAACTTTGTGCTAACTGTGAGGAAGATATAGGTCAAAAAAAGCCGCTAAGAACTGTTGCGTTGGTGGAGTAAACAGCGTCTGTGCATCTTGCGTCTGTGGACTGCGTGACAGGCGGACGTAAACCACGTACCAGCTGCGCGCAGGCAAGTCAGTTACGCTAGAAACGTAGGGAGATTGATTGACAGCCTGTCAGCTAACAGATAACGAGGCAATGTCGTTATCTATTGGCAAATGTTTAGCCCCACCACGTCCAGAGTTGATGAATTTTTATTGTCTTTTTTTTGGTCATCATAATTACAAGGCTACTGCACCTCTATAATGCTATCATTGACAACTTGAAACAAAAAAAACAAAAAAAAAATCCTCCATACAACCTTTAAAGTCTCTTGTGCACACTTCCATTTACATGCAACTGCCCACGCATCTTCCAACGTACCTGCACCATGCTCATGACATTTTGATTGAAGAATGGGGTCCAATCCGGCAACAAATCTTCTGAAGCGTTCCATGGCAATGGCTGGCTCTCCATAGTTTGGAAAAGCTTCCAGAACCAACCTTGTGATTTCAGCAGCATAAACTTCTAATGGTTCTTCAGGCAAGCGCTGTCTCGCTAAATGAAGCAAATCGCACACGTACTTATTTCATATATTTGTTCAACAAAATGGACAGATCCACGGCCGTCCAGGCTACGAGTTTTTTTTATTTATTTTTTATTTATTTTTTTATTTAATTCATAAAGCATAAAAAGACATTGACAGTGTCACAACATCAAACACACAAGAAATGAATGAAAAGGAGCAGAAAGAAGAAAAAATCTTATGTTATCTGCCCCCCTTTCCTTTTTCAAGACAAAACATCAACACCAATGGTCACTAAACATTCCATATTAGTTCAGGCACAATTACTGATCAATTGCAAACAGAAAATCTTCATTATTATACACAACTTAGTTTTCTTTTTCATACAGACACAGTGCATTCGATTTTATATGTTTTTTAAATATCATCATTATTCTTGATTCTTTTATTTCTTTGTCAAGACTCTTCCATAAGTTAACTCCTTTCACAGCAACACTTCGCTCCATAACCTTGGTTCTGAATCTGGGTTTTTTAAACATGTAGGTTCCTTTTAAATTGTAGTGGCTTGTTCTCATCTCAAACAGTTTTTGAATATTTACAGGTAATACATTGCACTTTGCTTTATACATGTCTTTGAGGATACTTAAGTCAACAATATCCTGCATTTTCAACACTTTAAGTTGAACAAATATTGGGTTGGATGGCTCTCTACAATGACTGTTGGTGATGATTCTCAAGGCCCTTTTTTGCAAAATAAATAAAGGTTGTAGATTGTTTTACATGTTGAACCCCAAATTTCCACACAGTACATCAGATATGGTACAATTATAGAGTTAAACAAAGTTAATAATGCTGTACTATTTAGTGAGAACTTTATTTTTTGCAGAACAGCAATGGCTTTGGAAATTTTGCCTTTTGTGTAATTTATATGAGATCTCCAGTTTAGACCTTCATCAATCATAACTCCTAAAAATTTGGTTTCATTTACTCTTTGAATCTGTATCCCATCTATTTCTAATGTTACGTTGTTTTTTTTCTTTTTATCATTAAATAAAATGAGCTCCATGGGCTCCGAGCTCTGCCGGCTCCGAGTTCTGGCCTGGCCATGGGCTCTGTGCTCCGGTTCCTGGGTCGTCCAAATAGGGGTGTCCTGCTCATTTTTTTACGCTGCGATCTTGCTTATATTTGCTATCACAGGGTATTCGCAAAGGCCTTTTTTTTTTTCTTTTTTTTAAATTTAGGTTTATTATGTTTATTTATTATTTAGGTTTTGTTTATTTATATTTTTTATATTTATGATATATAATGATTATTATAGGTATACCTATAGCATGTATTTTGGAAAGTTCATTTTAATTTTCCTGGGAGCAAGAGTTTCCTATTACGGAAACTATTTCTGTGCCACTGCCATTTTGGTTCTTTTGGGAGGTTGTTGCAAATGGAAAAGATAGATCCGTGTTAGAGCCAACATGGCGCCGTTTCTCTTTAAACAGACAGCCAATCAGATCAGTAGAAAAGTATTCGCTAACGAATCAGATCATGGTTTGTGGGCGGGACGTTCGGTGCGGGTGGGTCTGTTTTGGGTGTTGTGATTTCCTGGGAGTTGTTGGTCCGATTTGACCGAGGTTTTCTCTGTGTATTAACGCCGTGTAGCGAGCCCTAGCCGCTGCCATGCCCGGGATAGAGAAGCTGCCGATAGAGGAAACCCTGGAGGACAGTCCGCAGGTGGGTGAGCCGGCTGGAAGCTGCAGCCAGCCCGCTAAAGATAGCCTCTTTTATGGTTCGGCTAACTGTCTGCTAGCGTTAACTGTCTTTGTAGCCACCAAAGTGCTAATAGCTAATCGCCTCTCACTGCTGTGTGTCAGCTTAGTTTCTACATTTTAACGCATAACTTTTCATAAATTATCCAGTTGTTAGGCGGAAATATGTGGATTAAACCTGTTAAACATCAGGTGATCAAACACAACAATTAGCCTGGGAGTTCCTTAACACTCCACTCCTCTGAAGCTAACTGTTATAGAAGTGAAAACTGATCCAGATGTGAATAAACTCGGTGCTATTAAGAACTAAAGATGTCATGTGCTTTTATAGACTCTTGTCATAGATTTTGACATCACTCAATGGGTGTGGCAATTGTTTTGTACAATTTAAAAGGGCAAAAAATAGAAAATATTGAATACAATGGGGAGGTGATTAGGCTTCTAGACCAAAACACACAGAAATCTAGATGGGCAAACACAAATCCTTAAAATAGCCTGATGCAATGTAGGATAAAAGGACATGAAGCATGGGTTCAAGTTTTGACTATTATTACAAATATTTAGAAGACATAACAGACGTAACATTTCTTCACATGATTATATTCGTTTACTACCCATGTAAAAAAGAAGGTAATACTTTGTTGAAAAAGTTTTGTGTAGGTCCATTAGATGAAGGTCTTAAGGCCAAAAATATATTATGGGCAATGCAGTCCCAGTGATCCTAGTGATCCAGATATATAAAAAAATAATTAAATAAAACTGTGGTGTGAATTTGATAGACCTTCAGTATAAAAAATAAAACATACGCATCATTTTTCCTTCCTCACAACATCCTGTGTTGCGCTCTCTGAGAACTGTTTCACAAGTTTCAAATTACCGTCAAGACAAGAAGATATTTTAGCCTCTAGATTTGGTTAAATGCCTTTAAGATACCACCAACACCTTATATACGTATCACTATGAATGACAATATAAAATTTCACCATTACAATCACTCATAATTCTTAACTTTAAACTGTCTTTATATAAATACGTGGCTTGCTAGGACTTTTTTGTGTAAATAGTTGTTTTTGCATGAACCCCCCCTTCAGGTGTAGTCTTGTGAGTGCAGTTTGGGTCAGATACGTAGACATGTGTCATAGTTCATAGAGCTTTTGCCCTTGTTTTAGTTGATTAATCAATTAGCAGTCTTTAGCTGATGAAGAATTTCTTTAGTCTATTACAGCCCCACTTACCACCACTGTAGTAGTAGTAGCAGCAGTAATATAGTAATGCAGTAATGCTCACCTGATTAAGTGCCTTGAATGCGTTCAAACCTGCCCCAGTTTATTAGTCTCACATACCAAACACAGGTCAAGTTAAGAGTAGGCATACTGTATTTCTGTATATAACCCATCTGTCAGTGTAGGGCTGCAGTGATTAATCAACTAATCAGGACTTGTCGACTATTTAAAAAAAAAAAATCTTATTGTGATAATATTGTAATATATCGATATTTGGGCTATACAGACTCTAAAACACATACGAAAAAACTTTTATAAAAAAGACAGTGGCATAATGCCAGAAAATAATACAGTTTATTTGAAAATAATGGTGTATATCCAAGTCTCACGATACAATATTGTCACGGTATGAACCTCATGGTATGATATTTATTGCAGTATCGTGGGAAAGCTCATGATTAGAGATGTAACAATATCCAAATTGCTCGGTATGATATTTACGCAATATTTTCTCGATATACATCTCACGGTATAATATTTATTGAGATATTTTATGGAGGTTAATAAAACTGTTACTATGCAACATTTTCCTCTTAAAATGCCTTGACAAGGCTTAATCCAAAGAACTAAAACTTAAAAGTGCTTTGGACTGTTATTTCTTCTTGTAGTCTACACTGATATGCAGAAAAGGATGATGGTCTATGTAGTTCCCTTTGTCTTTTTTTTTTAGCTATTGCTGCCCCTTAACTCTTAATTTAAGCAAAGAGACTTGTAATTAAATATATTGTGATGGTCCACGATATTACTGTGAGAACTTTGATGAAACGATATCACAGTATTTCGGTTGTTGTTACATCCCTATTCGAAAATAACGGTTAGTTGTAGTCCTTCTTCTATGCATGTCGTCTGACTGGAGCTTTTGTGTTTTGTGTTTTTCTGTGTCAGACTCGTTCTCTTCTGGGTGTTTTTGAAGAGGACACGGCTGCAATCTCCAACTACTGCACTCAGCTGTACCAAGCCATGCACCGGATCTATGACGCACAGGTGCCCAACCACAAGCATCAACGCACAATGTTTAGAGGACCGACCTTGTGTTATTTTTGGATCAGTGTTATAATGTTGTTTCCTCATCAAAAACATAATTGTTTCATTAACATGTTTTGTTTCATTAACATGTTTAACCTCCTGACACCCGGCACAAATCCTGCATACTTAGGCTGTGTTCTTCTCTCAAATGAAAAACACTCTGTTCCACCTTGTGAGGTGCTCCACTGTTTTTTAAACTCCATACACCTTTACTTGAATCATTTAGGTGGTTTCAGTCCTGGAATTGTCTATCTCTACTGAAAAAGTAGCTTTTAACTAACTAACGTGAAAAATACCTTTTACCTACTTCATGATATCACAAGGTGGAACAGAGCATTTTGAGCTTTTTTAGATATAGACAGACGAATAATAAAGGACATGTGTGAATGAAATAAAACACAACTTCGGATATGTTTTTGAGGAGGTAACATCATTATAACATGGCTTACAGCTCACTAGAGTCCATTTTGCGTAATACAGGACCTTTAATATGAAATGACAGCTGAGGTAATTTACTTTATGTCTTGTTTAAATATTTTTGCAGAATGAGCTCAGTGCAGCCACTCACCTGACGTCCAGACTGCTCAAAGAATACGACAAACAGGTGAATGTCTCCCACACAGAAAAACATCTCTTTCTCTTTTTATGCTAACTGTAGTTCCTGTGTCCTGTGCAGCGTTTTCCTCTAGGGGGCGATGATGAGGTGATGAGCTCTACGCTGCAGCAGTTTGCTAAAGTCATAGATGAGGTACGGTTGATTCTTCTGTGTTTAATCTTATGAAGCCATTTTAGAGATCATTTTATCCTCTTTTTTTTTGGATAATTTTCTTGTTTAGAACTACAGTGGAAATTATGTGGTTTTTAGACCTTGTTAGACCTTATTAGCTGGAATAGTCCGGTTATAGACAATAAATCGGCAGATTTTTTAATTTTTTTTTCATGACCGATGCTGATACTGATTGATCAGAATCCAGAGCATCCAATGATAAGCTGTACAGATATTTTTGGGACAAGATGTAGGGCCCATTTTGATTATTTTTCCTAAGTTTTATCACTTACCGTACTATAAACTTTAAAGCCAAAGAAAGCTTTGTATTTTTAAGTGTTCACTGTTCCTCCATCTCTATAAAATCTGTCACATTTTTCACATTTCCAGCTGAGTTCATGTCACGCTGTTTTATCGACCCAACTCGCAGACGCCATGATGTTCCCCATAACGCAGTTCAAAGAGAGAGACCTCAAAGGTAAAAGACTGAAGTAAAATGTCATCACCAGATCAAATATCGTGTTTTACCCTTTTCGCCTGCTGCAAACCCGTATGTTGATTTTCTTAATACTGACATTTTTTCTGCAGAAATTCTTACTCTGAAGGAGGTTTTCCAGATTTCTAGTGATGGTGAGTCTTTTCACTAGAGATGTTTATGCACAGACTAATTACTGTGTTTTTGCAGTTAGATTAAAAGTACCAAATTTTATTCAATACACTGTCAGTCTCACTGAATGTTTTTACTGCTTTTTACATTTTAGATACATACGGAAAACATCAAATATGAAGTAAGATATATGGAATTTTGTAGTAATGTAGTAATTTTTGACAAAGCAAAGGGTGGCTACATTTAGAGTTATAAAATGTATTAAAAAATAGTAGTGTTATTTAAGTTTTTTGTTTGCTACATAATTCCATATATATTACTTCATGTTGATGCCTTCTGTATGTATATAAAATGTAGAAAGCAGATAAAATAAAGAAAAAAAACAGCAATATTCAATGTGAGGGTGTGTCCAAACCTTTGACTGGTCATGTATATTTGAGCAAAATTTGTCCTAGTTTTGTTTTTCACATTTTCAAGATGGTAAAAATCAGGCAAATCAGGCCTTTAATGAAGTACTTTTGTCATTATACACAAACATAAAGTGCAGAATAGAATAGTTAACAGACTTTTTCACACACATACAGTTGCATCTAATTCATAAATAAATTAAAAAAGCGACTACAGTTCTTGTCATTTGTATTTTATTTCAGATCATGACATGGCCATAAACCGATACAGCCGTTTGTCCAAGAGGAGGGACAATGATAAGGTAACACTATATAACACTACTATACTACTACAACACACTATGGGGCCACTCATTTCAGAGGGTAGTGCCCACTTGTCTCATTTACGTTTACAGTGACTAACTTTTTCAACAAAATTGTACAACTTTTATTTCTACGTGAATCATGCATTTGACAATGTAACAGTACTCTTACATGAATATATGTGTTCGCTACTCACTGTGAGTAAGTCCAAGTAACAAAAGTTTTATGTTGACATAGTTTTGTTTTTCTCATTTTTGCACTCTGTCCTGGTAATCCACTAAAACCATTATTTAATGTTCTGTACTGAATTTAACTGTAAATTAGATGTTACGTCCACACAGTGCTTTTTCATTCTTACTTGAGTAATTGCTTGGCTCAATATTTTGTACTTCAGTGATATTATTGATCCTTTGTGGTGACATCATGCTGGGGGTGTTCTGCATGTATGTGTATGTTCAGTAGTTACCGTCAGTGTTAGGGAGTAACGGATTACATGTACCAGAGTTACGTAATCAGAGTACAAATTATGAGTAACTGTATTCAGTTACAGTTACTGTTTCAGTGAGTGGTAATTGGATTACAGTTACTTTGTTGAAATAAACGGATTACACGGTGGTATTTTCCTGTTTTTCGCATTTTGGACTATATCCGACCTTTTTTTTTTTTTTTTTTTTTTTTTTTTTGGTAATTCCAATCATTGCCGGAAACTAAACCAGGTCTAAACTAGATCTTAACCAGGTCGAAACCAGGTCTAAAACCAGGATTTAACAGGACTAAATCATACTGCATGGACCTGTCTCCTCGTCTTCTGTCAATAATATTTTTAATACGGTTCAGTAAAGTCTGGGCTTTTTATTTTCTTTTAGCCGATAAAACATCTTATATTACGATATCCTGGTCTTTGCTTCTGTACAGCAAATCAAGTAATCCAAAGTATTCAGATTACATTACTCACTTTAAATAATTTAATGGATTACGTTACAAACTACATTTTGAGGAATGTAATCTGTAATCTGTAGGGGAATACATTTTAAAAGTCACCTTCCCAACACTGGTTACCGTTATGACACAATGCACACATTAACGAGGGAAGGTAAGAGGAGAGTTAAAAATGCTAGCTAACTTGTGACTGTAATGTTTTTTGAGAGGCGAAACTACTTTAACAGAAAAAAATCATCTGACCTGTTCCAACTAAGTCATTTTTTTACTAGTCAGGTTGTTTTAAAATAAAACTCTTAACATCTAACAAAGCCTCAGACAGAGCAGAGCCTACAGTTAGCATCACACCCCCAGGGAATGTTGATGAGCATCAGCTGTAAAGTACCAATAGTATAGTAACGTATAATAACAATGCTCTTACTTGAGTAAAATTTTTTACTCTGTCCATCTCTAACCAATGCATTTATTTGTGTAAAATAGCAAAAATTCTATTCTGTCAACTGGACAAAAGTCTTACGTTTTGCAGCTCATCCTTTCTCCTCATCCTCATGCTTCAGTTCTGGTCAGACGCTGATGGATACTGCCTTATATCAGCCTGAAGGAAGGAGCTAACTACACTGAAACTACTCTGAAACTTACACACCTGCTTGTTTACAGTTTATGTGTGTTAGCTCAATTCAGTAGTTTCAATAGGCCAAGCTAACAAACATAAACTGTAAACAAGTAGATGTGTTAGTTTCAGTGTAGTTAGCTCCTTCCTTCAGGCAGATAAGGCAGTGTCCACCAGCGTCTGACCGGAAATGAAGAAGCAGCTTGGGTGAGCTGAGTATTTGACCAAAAAGACATTTGTTCAGTTGACAGAACTGAATTTCTCTTTTGCTCTGGATCCTACCTGGGCAACTGAGGGATTACTCGAACATTTGTATAAAATATAATAACAAATGACAGCAAAATTAACAGATATTTCCATGTCCTGTGTGTGTGCCTGTGTGTGTGCCGGTGCGTGTGCGGTGCCTTCAGGCTCGTGCGGAGGCTGTGGAGGACGTGTACACGGCTCGTAAAAAGCAGCATCAGACGATGATGCACTACTTCTGCTCCTTAAACACTCTGCAGTACAAGAAGAAAACGGCTCTACTCGAACCTCTGCTCGGATACATGCAGGCCCAGGTACCACATCCCAACACACTTTATCTGTTTATTTACTTTATAAAACATATACAAACATTTATAACAGTTCATACAATTCTATAGAAGTCTTGTAAAAAGGGAACTCCCCAGAAGCTACCTTATCTTAGAAAAGGAACCCCAGATATATGCCGAACAAAATACATAGTAACAAGGTTTATAAGCATGACGGTATACAAAGAGATACACAGATAAAGGAAGACAATAAAAGACCGTAAACTGATACTTTGCATTGACATCATGCTGGAGGGGTGTTGTACATGTATCTCTGTGGTGTGGTTCAGAAGTTACCATGGTGACACAATGCACACATTAGCCAGCACTAAACTTTTATTTTATTGATCCACAAGGGAAATTATTTGGACACAGTAGCTCATACATCATAATATAATATAACAAGAGAAAAGAAATATATAAATAGTAATAATAAATTCTAAATAAGTAGCAAAAAATGAAAGAGGCTGGTGTCAAATAAGGCATAATTATATAAATGTATGGGTACAAGAAAAAAATAAAATAAAAATAAAAACTTAAGAAAAATATCTTTGCAATATACAAGAGGTTGTAAGGAAAGGACCCCGTCAAAAAAGTTTAAGATAGTCTGAAAACTCATTTAAACTGCACATTTTCAGGAGCCTGTGATCAGCGTTCATGGTTCTGTTTAGGTTTAGTTTAATTTTCAACAAAAATGTGAGAGTGACTAAAAACTGTTGGCTAATGTTATCTAGCTTGTGATTGTATTGTTATTTGAGGGGGGTTATACAGAACCTTGCTCACCTGTTGTAGTTCCACCTAAGTCAGTTCTTTCTGGTCAGATTGTTTTAAAATAAAGCACTGATTAAAGACCAACTTGAGTAACAGAGCTTCAGACAGAACAGAGCCTTCACATGTTGATGACATCAGCTGCAAAGTATCAATAGTAAATAGAAAATAAAACTGTTAATAAAAGTCATTAAAATACATATAGAGTTTAGGGCCAAGGCTCCACCAGGTCAGGAAAACATTAAAGGCCCTGATTTTTCCACATGTATTTGCGTACAATTTGTTTTACCCCAGTACAGATATACTAGTATATTATACCAGCTGGTCTTGAGTGCAAAATAATCTGCTGTGTGCTGTCTGCATCTAATTATTATTGTCCATTAATCAGGAAGTGTGCTTTAGCATGATAGTTGCTAACAAAACAAAACCCAATTGACAGATGGATAATCCTTTACTAATCCCCAAGGGGTAAATAGTTTAGCGTATTTTCATACCTGGATGAGTAATAACTAAAGGTGTGCTATGTAACTTTTTGGTTGAGGGTTTGTCACCTGTTTCCATGGTTATGTCAGTGTTTTGCACGGAATGTTCCACAGTATGACATTAAACAACTTTACCTTATATTTATTCAATTACAGGTGGTTTTATAGCTCAGAAATTCCTAGAACAACAGGCAATGTGACTGAGCGGGGTCACCTCTCCACAGATCTGACCTGTAACTTGGTCTGGTTTGGTCTCCACGATGATAGAAGTGGTCTAATGCCACACTGCCATTCCAGATGAAGCAATAACATCTCCTTGAAGAAAAACAATTGATAGACCCACAAGAAAAGTTACACAATGCACCTTTAACTTGCATAAACTGCTAAAGATTTTCCAGAGCTGTCCCTTGCAGGTGTGCGTTGCCGATCCCTCGCACTCCTTTAAAAGCCTTTTCAGTGAAACCGGTTCTTCTTATTATTTTTTTTCTTTTGCGCTGTTCTTTGATTTTCAGTCTTTTATGAAACTTAAACCTCTTTGTTTTGTTGCAGATCAGTTTCTTTAAGCTGGGCTCAGAAAACCTCACTCAGCAGTGGGAGGAATTCCTGGGAACAATCGGAGCCAGCGTCCAAAAGTAAGAGAGATGTTTTACTTCTACCATTACGCATCTCCTGTTCTGTAGTCTTTTGGCAACATTTGTGATTTTTTTAAATTATTTTTTTTAAAGTAAATTGGTGTGCAGTTATTCTTATTTGTTTTGAAATGTAAAAAACAAAACATACATCTATTAAAGGGCTATATATTATAATGTTTCCTCATCACAAACATACCTTGAATTGTGTTCTGTTCATTTACACATATTGCACATTTAGGCTGTGTTCTCCTCTCATACTGAAAACACTCTGTTCCTCCTTCTGATGTCATGTGGTGATACAGGAAGTGCTCCACTCTGTTTTTAAACTCCATACGCCTTCATTAGAATCATTTGGATCATTTCAGCCCTGGAATTGACAATCTCTACTGAACTAAAGGTAAAAGGTAGCTGTTAACTTGAAAACTACCACTACATGACATCACAAGGTGGAGCATTTTGAACTTTGGGGATATAGACTAATAATAAAGTGTTACTCAAACTTACATATGAGTGAAACAAACACAACTCCGGGTATGTTTCTGATAAGGTAACAGCTTAATGCTCACAAGAGTCAGTTTTGTGTAATATAGACCCTTTAAAATGTCTGGATAGTATTGGTATTTCTAGCTTCAACCTGTCATGAGTTGGACTAGTGGCCCGTTAGTCGGTACTGCAGCAAAAAAATTCTCTGCATTTTTTCCGTAGAGCGCAATGTAAACACAAACAGCTCTGATCATAAACCTTTTCTCAGCTCAAAATCCTTCACTTGTCTTAAACAGTTTTTTAATTGTTTAATTTGACTACTCTCGCTCTGATTGGTCAAAATGGTCACATGGTATGCGTTAAAAAAGCTCTAACACTTACAAAAAAAAAACCATTACAAACCATATGTATGAAAATGTAGGCTGCAGCTGAGCCTAACTCAAGCTGCCTTTACTGTGAAGAGAAATGCAATATATTGTTCTATAGTCTTCATGCAAACACCTTCACTGCTCACTGTGTGAACTGATGTAGTCCTAGTGCCCTCTACTGGTGTTTTTGAGTAGGCTACAAATTTCATGACGATTAAAGCTTTGAACTGGTTTGGCAAAAAATTGAAAAAATATTGAAATTTGAATAATAATCGATACTAGAAACAACTAAATTGAGCAGGTTTCGATACTAAAAAGGTAACATTCATACACAGAACAGAGATGAACCTTTCTTTAGAATGATGTTGAGCTCTATCAGAACAAGTATAAGAACACATAGACTAGTATACACCCATGGACCACTGTGGAACCTGCCTGGACCACTGAAGGATTACACAGATGTAAGGCCACATGGGATATATGTTGGAGTCAGTATTGACTTGATTGAGTATTGAGAAATTGAGTTTGAAATTTTAATATCACAACTAAAAACACAAAAAATTACCAAGGTTTAGGACTGAAAAGCCAGAATAAAGTGTACTATCAGAATATCAGTCTAATATAAGTCTCTTCCCAGTGTACGCAGAGAGATGGAGGAGGAGGTGGGGCAGATGCAGCAGACCATACAGCAGATGGAGAGATCATGTGACCCGCTGTATGCGCCATGTGACCCAGACCCCGCCCACTCCCCTGTGAGCCGCAACCTCACCCGGAAACAGGGATACCTCTACATACGCAAGTAACTCCCCCACAAGTTCACACTTCTTTGCAATTGGTTAATTCCACCTGTCACTTACTCAGGGCTTTGTTGAGTCTGACCACTAGAAGGTGTGGTACGGAAAAGTGTCTTTTTTTGAGCATGGAGCTGCATCCAAGAAAAAAAATCTGTAAATCACAATATAGCGATTTTACCAAAACAATGAAAAGCAATGAAAAGTGGCTCCTCCTTTCACTGCATTTGAGATTAATCTTTGTCAAACATGTGGCCAGCAGTAACAACAGAAGAGGTCTGCTGTGAACCGGACCATCTCTCCTTGATTCACTTTCATTTACTCACTTTTACAAGCACGGAAACACTGCCAGCACACAGCGCTAGCCTCAGCTAACTTGTATAGACGTTAGACTTTATTCTCCCAGAGAGGAAATTATTTTTCACTAACACAGGTATAATTATGGAAATGTTACTTCGCGGCGCCAAAACTTTGGTCTTTTCCATGAAGTGCAACATTCAACGGTGAAAAAATCGGGCAGTGGACACCAGGCTTATAGAGAGATGGATAGATGGATAGATGGATAGACAGATAGACAGATACATTATTGATCCCAAAGGAAATCAGTAAAGTGCAAAGTATATAGGACAACAGGTAAAGTGGGTACTCCGAGTTAGGGGTGGGCGATATCTCGATATTTTAAATATGTCGAGATATTTTTTAAAGTCGATATGGATTCTGACATATCATATATATCAATATAATGCTTATATTCAATTCCGATTTCACTGCTTTGCTTGTTTGCTTTCACTGTGCGCGCCCCCGCCTCCCTGATTTTGCTGCTTGTGTCTCATTCACGCCTCACTGTCGCTGTGTATACCGAAAGTTGGTGCCAGTGAAAAGCTTGTAGCACCACGAACCTTTTCTACCATTTACAGTCAAGGCCATCAGAACATCCTCTTATTCCATTGAGTCATGTCCTTTAGTCTGAAAGAAGCTGAACTGCATTAGCGGCACAAGGAGTGCGCTATTTATGCAAATTAGCCATGCGGTTCTAAGATTTGTTTCTGTAACGTGTGTAAAACTGCATTAAACACATAATAATGTCAAATGGGCTGATGTGGCTCTGTAGTCGTTATGCTTTAAATGTTGTAAAGTTTAGTCATGTAAAGTTTATTTATGCAGAAGAATTTAATGAATAATCTGCTGCAGTGTAACTTGTACAACATTGTTTGGAAACGTTCGGTTTGATTTGCGCAGTGGATTGTGGGAAACCTCAGAGCTCCTTACGCTGGTGAGGATCATGGATCTGTTAAAATGAAGAACCTCCCAAGCTTCCCGTGTTTAAGGAGCTCTTGGTTATCATATAGTTATCAGTTAATGCAAAGATGAACTTGAGTTGAGTTGTTTTATTATGAATGAAAAGAAGGCAATATGTATTATTTCTTTACTTTCTTTTATTTCTATTTCTTTTTCCTAGATGAACTGCCAACCTCTTGCACTTCAATAAAAAAAAAGACCTTGTGGAATTTGGCAGATTTGTTTTTGCAGTAGATATATATCGTATTTCGAGATATAGCAAAATATATCAAGATGTATTTTTTGCTCCATATCGCCCAGCCTCACTCTGAGTATTGTCCCAGTGGTGATTTCCATTGTATTACTGTACAGTGTGGTACCTGTTGTTGTGTTAACCCGTCTGTCTCTGTGTGTCAGTAAAACGGGGCTGGTGTCGTCGTCATGGGAACGGCAGTACTTCTTCACTCAGGGGGGAAACCTGATGCAGCAGGGTCGTGGAGAGGTCGCCGGGGGGCTCGTCATGGACCTGGACAACTGCTCCGTGATGGCGGTGGATTCGGACGACCGCCGCTTCTGCTTCCAGGTCACAGCATTCGACGGGAAGAAGTACGATTTCTATACAGGTTTAGTACCGGTCAAGTCCTGGTTTAGACCTGGTTTAGATCTCGCCCAGTCCAGTTCAAGATGCACTAACCTTTTGGGAAGGGGTCCACCACTTTTTGTCACCATTATTAACTTTGGGCTTGTGGTGTCATCTGCTTGCCTCCAGGGAGATGGATATGTTTAATGCCATACTGTGGAATATTACAGGCAAAGCAATAACATATCCATGGAGACAGGCAGGTGGTGGACCCTGGATCTGAAAAGTTATGTAACTTTGGTTTGTTTTTGTCTTTAGCAGTGATTTGGGTCTATGTACTTCAGGTTTAGTCCTGATATAGTATATAGGCTTTTGCTTTTGTTTAGCCCTTATTTAGTTGTAATTTAGACCTTCTTTAGTCCTGATTCAGTCCTAGTTCAGACCGCATGTTGACCTGGTTTAGTCCTAGTTCAGACCTTGTATAGACGTCGTTTAGTCCTAGTTCAGACCTTGTGTAAACCTGGTTTCATCCTAGTTCAGACATCGTGTAGACCTGGTTTAGTCCTAGTTCAGACCATGTGTAGACCTGTTTTAGTCCTAGTTCAGACCATGTGTGGACCTGGTTTCATACTAGTTCAGACATTGTGTAGACTTGGTTTAGTCCTAGTTCAGATCTCATATAGACCAGGTTTAGTCATAGTTCAGACCTCGTGTAGACCTGGTTTAGTCCTAGTTCAGATCTCATGTAGACCTGGTTTAATCCTAGTTCAGACCGTGTGTGGACCTGATTTATTTCTAGTTCAGACCTTGTGTAGACCTGGTTAATCCTGGTTGAGATCTTGTACTGTAAGTTAAAATTTAGTTTTCTTTCAGAGCGGTGACGTTGCAGTCTGAGAGCAGAAAGGACTGTGAAGAGGTATTTGTATTTTTTACTCTTTTGACTCAAAATTACTGTTCAGCTGATATTGGACTGATAATTCCATGGCCGCTATTGCTTTTCAAATCTCTAATTTCTTTAGGTATTAATTAAACATTTTACCATTAATTAATTAATTAATTTCAACATAAATATCCCCCTCTTATGGATGCCTATTTTCTATCTTCATGGGAACCAAACCAGATCAAGTTATTAGTCAAATCTATGGAGAAGCAACGCAGCTCACAGTCAGAATGCCTGTTTTTCTACAAATTTTTTGAATTCTTTAAAGTTACACTGTTGAACACTCCAGGCAGAATACCACATAGCCACATATAAGAGACACACCTCAACCAAAAAGTTACATAGTGCACCTTTTAGATGCATTTTCCCCATAGACTTATAATATATATTTGTACATTTGTGTGTCTTCTGCAGTGGATCTCTACCATCAACAACATCTCCAGGAGGATTTACCTGAGCGAGAACGCAGAGGTCAGTGTCTCACCTGATTCATTTTGCACAGACTGAAAAAATCAAGTAAAAGTGTTCAATTTTTGTTTGATTGAAGGAGCTGGCTGCGCGAGTGAACCAAACTGCTCTGGAGGCCGTGACCCCATCTCCATCATTTCAGCAGAGACACGAGAGCATGAGACCCAGGTAACTATGTGATGCAGGGACCTGACATGGAAGCTACTGTTTTTCTAAAGGGCCCATATTACACCGTTTTCTGAGCTACGTCATAATGTTGTCTCCTCATCAAAAACACACCTGGAGTTGTGTTGTTTCATTCACACTTGTTTAAAGGTGTAACTTTTTGGTTAGGGGTTCCTCACCTGCTTGTTTCTATGGATATGTCACTGCTCTGCTTGGAATGTTCCACAATATGACATTAAACAACTCTACCTTACTTTTACTGAATTACATGTTGGTTTAATTGCTCAAAAATACTTAGAATACAAGCATTTTGACTGCGAGTGGGATTGCCCCTCCACAGATCTGGTCTGGTTTGGTTTTGGTTTTGATCTGGTTTGCCACACTGTGAAATATGCCAGACAAAGCAATAACATTTCCATGGAAAAAAGCATTTGACAGATCCTCCACCAAAAAAGTTACACAATGCAAAAATGGAGGAAACAACATTATAACATATATCAGAATACCTTGTAATATGGACCCTTTAATAAATTCTGTCCTTTGTGTCTCTAAAGTGGTCATTTACTAATTCATTTCTGTTATTCTGTTATTGCCCTGTATTGCAGTAGGGGTCGCCCCGCTCGTGCCAGCAGCATCAGCTCAGTGGGGTCAGAGCCGTCTCCAGCTCTCTCTGTGCTCTCATTAGACGCTTTGGTCGCCCCGGATACCCCCATCCAGTTCGACATCATCTCCCCGGTAACAGAGGAGAGCGGAGGATCACAGCGGACCTCGGCTCAGAGCGGGGCGGGGAGGAGGAGCAACCCGTTTGGAGAGTCCGGAGACGGGGCCGGTGAAGACAGTGAAGGTACAGGCTCTGAAATGTAAACCATGAATTAAAATGACATATGCACTGACTCCCCTGTTTGTGTTCAGACTCGATCTTGCACCAGCTCTTCATCGTGCGGTTCTTGGGTTCCATGGAGGTGAGGACGGACTCCGCAGACGTGATCTCTGAGACCATGAGGCAGATCCTCGCTGCTCGCGCCATTCACAACATCTTCAGAATGACGGAGTCCCACCTGCTCGTCACCTGCGACTGCCTCAAGTATGTGCTCCTAGTGTCACAATACTAATATTTCAATTTCACATTTCAATACTAAGGTTTAAAATTTACAGTTTATATGACATTTTGATAATCTGATTTTTGGTGCATTAAGTAGGAATGCACCAGTACTGATACTAGTATCGAATATCAGCACTGGATCAGGTATTGGTTTGATTATATTGGTTCAGCAGATATCCTTGTTGGGCCTTTAACTGGGTGTAATGATTTACAGACATATTTATTTTGCATAATGTTTGAACTTTTAGTCATACCACCATTAATTGTGTTTTGAGGAAACAAGTGCCATTTTCTGTCCCCATACTAGTATTGGTTCATATCTGGTATCAGCAGATAAGTCAGAAAAACATGGATCAGTGCATAGTCACTGTGTTAGATCGTCTGTGGATTTACCTTTTGCAGTATCGTGAAAATACAATAGAATTCATACAGCTGTGTCAATGCTTTGCCTGGGATCTAGAATCCACACTTTCAGTACTTTATAAAGATGTGAGTCTGGTCACCAGTGAATCTCCCAGAGTTCAGATGAGCATTATTGGCAGATGGATTAGCCAATCAGGGACATGCATGGTTCATCCCTATCAAATATAGCTGCTTATGAGGAAAAAATAAAGAAATAAAAAAACTCGATTAAAATGAGGTGAGAGAAATTAGATGTTATTTGTAAATGACAGGTGACCAAGGAGCTCCTTCGTTTCATGTGTCGCTGAAAAAACAACTCTGATTGGACAATCACGTTTGGGTGGTGGGAGGCCGTATGGACCACTCTTATCCCTCTGTATAAAAATACATAGAGCTTTAATTCTGGATTTGCCAGTCAATGCTGGCTCCTGCTCCACCCATATTCAGTAGATGAAAATGCATGTATGTGTATATGTTCCATGTTTCATATGAGCCAACAGTATCCCTAATGTTGTTTTTTTCTATTGCAGACTCATAGATCCCCAAACCCAAGTGACTCGACTCAGGGTGAGTTCAGAATCAAATCATCAATTATTATCATCATCAAATCAAGTTTTGAAGCAAATAGAAAAGAGATTGTGATTAAAAAAATATATTTATTTATGCTGTTACGTCAAAGTCTAAATTCAGGTCTCAGCCGATCGTTAATGATTTAGAAATGACTGAATCTCAAAATACCTATGCCTTCTGTGAGTGCATCATCTTATGTGTATGATCTTATATTCCCCCTGCTCCTCAGTTTCCGTTGTCTTCGGTGCTGCAGTGTCAGTCTCATCAGGACAACAAGCGTCTGTTCGGCTTTGTGCTACAGACCAACAGAGACTCACGCTCCATCTGTTACATCTTTGAGTCCAACAACGACGGAGAGAAGGTCAAACAAACATCCCTGTACCAATACTATTACTACTACTGCGACTATTTTGACTACAACTACTACTATGGATACTATGAGTACTTCTACCACAACTGTTACCACTGTAACAATTACCACCGCTACTATTGCTATTACCATCACTATTACTACTGCTATTACTACTGCTGCTGAATATTATCACAGTTTTTGTGTTTCTTGAAAAATGTGAAAAAATATTTTTTTTGTTTGTTTTGAATAATCACAAGTACAAAGCCAGAGGGCTAAGACTCCAGCCTCATACAGGACAATACAGGATTACTAATGTATCAAAATACAACTTTGAATATGTTTATGATAAGGGCGATATTATGTAAAAAAAAATTTTACTTAACCATGTTATAATATGTTTCAGATTTGTGACAGTATTGGGCTTGCCAAGCAGATCGCCGTCCACTCAGAGATGGTGAGAGCTACAACTAAAGCTTTGTTTTGATTTGATTTTTCAAAACAAAAAGGGAAACTGTATTGACCTGATGATTTTTGTGCAGGATCGAAAGGCGGTGGAGAAGAGGAAGGAAGAAGACAAGGCCAAAGAGAAGCAGCAGGAGGAGCTGAGCAAACAGAGGCAGATCGAGAAGGTCCCAATGAACTTTTATAGATTTATTATTATTAGTAGTAGTATTATTATTATTATTATTTATTTTATTTTTTTCCCCCATGTCCCTCTTCTGTCCAATGGAGAGGGCAGATCTTATAACCTATTGTATATTTATCTTTTTTCACAAATTTTTTTCTTACTTACAAAAATCTTAGACATGATGTACCATTTATTTCTAATTTAATTTAGCTATAATTTTGTGTTTTGGTTCTCAATATTGAGTTTCCAGTTAGAAGGCAGGATGAACCTCACGTGAGTCCCTTATTTTGGGTTGCCAGTTTGAATTTTGAAATCTTAAAATATCTCTCTCGAATCTGAATGGTCACTACCGAAACCCTAGCCAGTCATGAGTCAGTGCTAGTGCAGCCTCTGCAGCATGTTGCCAAGTTTGAGTAAATTTATTGAGCTCAGATTTTGACCTGTTTGTTCTGTTTGTACTGTGTGACGTCCAGGACCTGGAGGAGCAGAGCCGTCTCATCGCAGCCTCCAGCCGCCCCTCCACCACGCCCTCCTCCTCTGACGGACACGTCCTCGTTCTGGGCCAATCAGAGAACGGCGAGGGAGCTCAGGGGGAGGGGCCAAAGCAGGAGTCAGATGCATAAATAAACACTATGACTCCTCTCGCCTGGGCTGCCCCGGGACAAATGAACTAAGCGAACCCCCGTCGCTCTGTGGAGGTGACGGGAAAACATGGCACAGAGTTTTATCTAAAGACGCTGCTTTTTATACTGTTTAACACTCATGGACTTCAGTCATTTCAGTCGAAATAAAAGACCCAATCTGGAGCGCGGAGAGGTTTTGATTGGTCGACAGCCATTAAGTCCCGCCCCCAGTGCCTAAATAAGAACAAACAGGAAGTAAGAAACAGTTCTGTGGAGAGACAAAGTGCATGTCCTGTATCTGAAAACCCTCCCTCCATCCAGAATCTCAGAAATAAGGGTGTTAAGTTTTGAGGGTTTTTTTTTTTTCACTGATTGTATTGGACTAAAATGAGACTAAACCAGGACTGCAAAACCTTTCTGCTTGAGGGTCTGTCACCTGCTTGCTCCCATCTAGATGCTATTGCTTTGCCTAAAATGTCCCACAGTATAGCATTAAACTTGAATATCTGAATGGAGACAAGCAGGTGATGTCTGCCTTTTTAGCAATAAAAACATCTGTAATTCAATGCATGAAAGATAGGCCGTTTCAATCTCATGTTACGGAACATTACAGCATCTCCACCACAAAAGTTACATAATGCAGCTTTAATAGAAACATTAAAAAATATAAAAAAGCCACAAGTTTGCATCATATCTCTTAGCTGAGATACTGGATTGCTTGGGTTTCAGATTGATGGAAAATTCATCGCCGTCGCCATAGTAATTAACAATTCAAAACATGAAGTGATATCTTTAGAAGGGAACTGAAACCCATGAACATTTTTCTGCATTCTACTCCATCTCTCCACAGAAGCCTTTTCCTGTCAAATCTTTGTATTGATACTTTGCAGTGACCTCATGTTGGGGGTGTTCTGCATGTATGTCTACGGCAGAATGTTTAACAGGTGTTTCATGTTCCACAAAAAAGTAAATTTTATGTGTTAGCAACTTGTTTAACCTCACAAATAGCTCATCCATTGTAGTTCCAACTAAGACAGTTTGTTCTGGTCAGATTGTGTTAAAATATAACTAAAAAGATTAAGTCGAATTTGAATAACAGAGGATGCGACAGAGCAGTGCCTCTAGTTAGCATCACGTCCCCAGGGAATGTTAATGAATCAGCTGCAAAGTATTAATTGTGGTATATTTAAGGTGCCAACTTCATTTCAGATCAGTGTTAGAGGCTCACATTCTGCTCACGGGAGGAAACCTGGTCTATCGCGCTGTTGTCGTGACCCCGCATACAACATTTACCGTATTTTCCGGGCTATTAGACGCGCTCTTAAGCCTCTAACTCCATCAAAAAACGACATCCAGAGCACCCCATACACAAATCCACTCAGGCATCCCAGCACAACTTCGGTAAACTACAAAGCTGCACCACCTGCAGCGCATGCAAACACACACGGAGCAGACAGCGACCGCGCGGCGACAAACACCCACAGCCACACTCATCACTCCGCGCCTACGAGGAACGGAACGGAGGAACGAACCGAAAAAGCGAGTCCAATGTGCCACTTCTAGACACAACTGAACAACTGAGTCACTGCGAACACGCCAACAATCCAGAGGTCCCAGACAACACCCTCCCTACACGCCACAACTGAACAAAGCCCAGAGTCACCGTGAACGCCACAAACAAAGTCCCACTGATCCATCCAGCTGTTGTGTTTCGTTTAAAGTCCAGTGCAGTTTATTTGTGAAAAAAGTTCAAAAATAGACCATTTAATGAAGTGCGTTTTATAATCCAGAGTGTCTAATAGTGCGGAAAATACGGTAACTTTAAAGCTCCTACATTATGCAACATCGCTAATGAGTTTTAAGCAGTGTTAGAATGTTTCCTCATCACAAACATACTTGAAGTTGTGTTTTGTTTTATTCATACACAAAAACTGCAGATTTATTCCAAGTTAGACTCTCAAACATGGACGGATTGGAACCAAAAAACGGCCCTGGACTTTCCTCCCACAAATCTGTCTACCCCTGCTCTCAGACTGAAAACACTATTCCATCTTGTGACATCATGTGGTAATACAGGAAGTGCTCCGCTGTGTTTTTAAACATCACTAGAATCATTGGGATTATTTCAGACCTATCAAAAGATAGCAACTACCGCTTCATGACATCACAAGGTGGAACAGAGCATGTAGACAGACTAATAACAAACAGATTACTCAAACATTTGTAAATGAAACAAAACACAACTCCAGGTCTGTTTTTGAGGAGGTAACAACAGGATAATAATATTTTTTTAAGCTCGCAGGAGTCAGTTTTGTGGAATATAGTGAGCAGAATGTGTTTTTCTTAAATTTGAATTATATTTAACAAACATTTATTTATAAACATTATAAACATTTTTATACGGTTTGAATTCTGGACTAACAAATATATTTTCCTTTTTATCTTAAAGTGCATGTGACATTTTTCATGTTTTTAATCATTACTTGGTTTGGTGGGATACAAAATATAGATCACAGTTTAACATCAGTTAAAAGACAGTTTGTGTAAAGAAAGTTGAAAAGAAAAGTTCAAAAATACAGGAAGAAGTGGGAATACCTCAACCTATGTTAACAACACGGAAAATTACATCCAAAATGCAGCAACAATTTCTGCACATGGAAAGCGGGTTTCTCAGAGTTTAAACCTTCATTCAACAAACTAAATCAAATAGTCATTTAAGTGTATTAGTTTAATCATAACTATTGTTAACATTATAGTTTTTAGGTAGCACAGCTCTACATAAGTCACATCGGCTGCCTGTGTTCAACCAGGAAGTAAAATGATAAACTTCACCAAAGTAAAACAAAAATAAAAACTAGCCGAGATTTTTAGTGAAATGTTCAATTATTATGATGTAATGAACAACAGTAGCTCAGCTGGTAAGAGCGTTTGTTCATTGATCAGAAAGTTGGTGATTCAAATCCCGCTCCCACAGATAAACGCTATCGTTGTGTCCTTCGGCAAGACCCATCTTGCCCCCAGTGTCTGCATACAGTGGTGCATGAATGTTTGTGTGAATGGGTGAGTGGTTCCTTGTTGTAAAGTGCTTTGAGTGCCTTGAATGTGGAAAACGCTGTATAAAAACGTGACCAGTTACCAATTTAGTTTTAATGAAATGCATCTAACCTGTCACATGCACTTTAAATCCTAAAATGGACAAAGTGACTGCAATGGGCACATTACAATATCTGTCTTCTTCACAAATGGAAAGAATAACAAAGAGGTAATCAAAATAATAAAACGATTAAATTAAATAGAAATTAATACATTAAAGGTGGACAGTACTTTTCAGCTTGTTTCCATGGAGATGTTTATGTATTAAAGACAAGAAGGTGGCACCACAAGACCACAAGTTACAGGTCAGATCTGTGGAGAGACAAGTCCGCTCACTGTCATAATACCTACGTGTTTTTCAAGTTATTTTTGAGCAATAAAATCACCTGTAGTGCAGTCAATATTAGATCAGTGTAATAATATACTGTGAACCATTCCTGGCAAAACAAAAACATCTCCATGGAGACAAGCACAAAAGTTACATAGTGCACGTTTAATTGAAATAAATAGCATTAATTGAGTGAAATCAAACATCAGTCAATTCAAATAGAATCTATGTAATAACTTGGATTTGTTTTTGTATTCATTGACATCTATTGGATTTAAATGCAATTCATTTCTTTCTTTGGACTAAATCTTTTGCTAAATGAATGAACTGTTACTGAGATGGGGCTGATTTTGGTGAAGGATTTTTGTGTTTTGCGCACTTTAGAGAAAAAAGGCCATGATTAAACAGCTGTAAATATAATTGTATTGATATTAATGATGATGGAGGTGGGGCTGTGAATAAATGACTAACTCCACCTGCCTGGCTCTTCAGTTGATGAATTAAGTGCACCTCAGTATATTAATGTTCATAAGTTCACTTGTTCAGGTAAGTAAAGTGCATTTCAGAAACGCAATGAAAGATTTGTATTTATTTATTTTATTTATGTAGATTTTATTTGTATTTAGAATGAGGAATATTTCACAGTATGGCATTAAACCTTTCTATCTTCATGTAGCCCAAACCAGACCAAGTTACAGGTCAGATCTGTGGAGAGGTGACCCTGCTCACAGTCAGAATGTCTGTTTTTCCAGGTATAAAACCATCTGTAATTGAATAAATGTAAGGTAGATCTGTTTAATGTCACACTGTGGAACATTACTGGTAGACATGCACATCCAGTAAAAATTGCGAGTGCGTGCTGGGTGCAAAGACAGAAATTGTGCAAAAGAAGAAAGAGATCCGCACGGCAGTTATTCAAAGCTCCCAGATTTTTATTTCAGTGACACCACAATGTGACGTTTCGGGTCAAGCCTTTCTTCAGACATGAAAAACTTCAGTTTCACACCTGTTTTATATATAGGCCAAGGTCTAGTCACCTGTCAGAAATGGGCGATTTTAGTTGTTCCTGTTCTTCAAAACAAAGCAGAACAGGAACAACTCAAACCTTCTCTGACCACTGTAAAAGAAAGAACGACATTATGGAGTGGGACAGAGCAACACCATTGGGATGTTTAAATCCATGTTTAAATCCATCTATTCAGACCGGCTTTTAACACTCAGTAATGCAGTGACACTTTGTACATCTTGTTTTATTTCATTGTTTAATGTTTTAAATGCTTTTATATTGTGTTGATTTTATTGGAAAGCACTTTGGTCACCTTGAGTGTCGTAAAGGGCTCTATAAATAAATTTGATTGAATGATTGGTTTAAATCGAGGACTAAATCCAGAACTAATCAAGGTTTAAACTAATGTAGGGAGAAAATATTACTGCTTAAGTTTAAAGTGGATATAAACTCAAATAAAAGGTGCTATTACAGTTAAAATAAGATATATTTACAGAGAAAGCGCAGACATTTAATAAAAATATACATTATTATTATAGATATACAGCATTTAACAAAAATATCCCAAAACTGTTCCTTCAAATTAGCTCAGTGCAAACAAAGACAATAAATTAAACATTCTTTTAAGTATAATAAAGTGACAGCATTGTGTTTAAGGCTCCTGAGACAGTGGGAAATTTTAGTATTGTGTTATTTGTGGATGTGGTTGGAGAGCCAGTCCAGACCCTCGGTGAGACCTGCTCCAGAGACTGCACACGACGCCTGAACCAGCCACTGGAGAGAAAGAGAGATGAGGGATTAAAACCGGACTAAAGCGGCCAAAATCAGAAGGGAACAAGGACTGAACAAGGATCTGTCTAACCAGGACTTCACCAGCGATGTAGCCTAATTAAAAGGAGAATAAACAGCTACTGAACCAGCACAAAAATGTCTCTAAGCGTGTGTTCAAATTTGGACTAAACCCAAAACATAACCTACTCTTGACCAGGACTAAATCAGCATTAAGAAGGGACCAAACCAGCTCTACACGAGGACCAAACCAGGAGTGTGAATGACTCTGGAGGACTAACTGGCTGATGCAGTAGTTACCCATCTGTTGTTGAACTACATCTGTAGTAAATACACTGCACACAGACTTTATTTTGATCAGATTACTTAACTCATGACTCTACACACTGTTGTTTTGATCGTTGGACTCAGTAGGCTTTAAACTTTCACTTCGTGTGTCTGAAACGCCACCACGGACTTCATTTTGATGCTTAAATGGAAACTTCTATTTCACAGACTCGTGGTCTTGGGTCTAGGGATGCACCAATACCAATTCTGGTATCGGGTATCGGCCTGACATTTGTCGATACCATGCACCGATACCGCTATTACGCAACACTACACAATATCAATGGTCACGTTCAGGATGGTATTTTGTTGTTCTACCGACTTCAGTGTCTAGGAGGAGACAAAGAGTCAAAAGATACAGCTAGTCATATGTGCAAATAATGCTCAATCATGTCGTCATCAGCAGTTTGGAAGTATTTTAGTATTAAAGAGGACGACAGGAGTAATACAGATTGCAAATTATGTAGTGCCAAGGTGTCGAGAGGTGATTTAATAGAAAGAATTTAATCAAACATTTGACGACACACCGCAGTGAGTACACAGATATGATGTTGCCTAAAGTACCAGTATCAGTACTCAGTATCAGCAAGCATAGAAATTATTATACTCGTACTCGTATCGGTTTTCAAAAAAAGTGGTATCAGTGGGTCTCCTTGGGGCTCACAGGCCTCGCTCAGACCAGTCCAGCTGTCACTGCAGTGTCTGAGTGGTTTTGTTGTGGTGTAACAATCACATGTGCATGTGTTAACTACTCATATATTAAGGGAACTAACTACTCATCTGTTAAAAGAAATAATTACTCATCTGTTAAGGGAAATAATTACTCAATGTGTTAAAGGAAATAATTACTCATCTGTTAAGGGAAAAGGCTCCAAACTGAAACAAGCATCTGCCGGCAGCAATGAGCCCACGGGAAAAGAGGACAGTGTTGGGAAGGTGACTTTTAAAATGTATTCCCCTACAGATTACAGATTACATACCCCAAAATGTAGTTTGTAAAGTAATCCATTAAATTACTTGAGGCGAGTAACGTAATCTGAATACTTTTGGATTACTTGATTTGCTGTAGAGAAGCAAAGACTAGGAAATCTTCACATAAGATGTTTTGTCTGATAAAAGAAAATAAAAAGCCCAGATTTTCCTTAACCATAATAAAAATATTACTGTTAGAAGAGGAGGAGACACGGTCCGCGTGGCAAGGTTTAGTCCTGTTAAATCCTGGTTTAGTCCTGTTAAATTCTGGTTTAGTCCTGCTTTAGTCCTGTTAAATCCTGGTTTAGTCCTGGTTTTAGTCCTGGTTTCATCCTGGTTTAGACCTGGTTTTAGTCCTGGTGTAGTCCTGGTTTACACATGGTTTTGTCCTGGTTTAGACCTGGTTTTAGTCGTGTTTTAGTCCTGGTTTAGATCTAGTTTAGACCTGGTTTTAGACCTGGTTTTAGACCTGGTTTAGTCCTAGTTTAGACCTGGTTTTAGACCTGGATTAGATCTAGTTTAGACCTGGTTTTAGACCTGGTTTAGTCCTAGTTTAGACCTAGTTTTAGACCTGGATTAGATCTAGTTTAGACCTGGTTTTAGACCTGGATTAGATCTAGTTTAGACCTGGTTTTAGACCTGGATTAGATCTAGTTTAGACCTGGTTTTAGACCTGGTTTTAGACGTGGTTATAGCTCAAAGGGGGGATATAGCTCAAAATGTAAAAACAGGAAAATACCGCCCTGTAATCCATTTATTTCAACAAGTAACTGTAATCCAATTACCACTCACTCACTCAGTAACTGTAACCGAATACAGTTACTCATAATTTGTACTCTGATTACGTAACTCTAGTACATGTAATCTGTTACTCCCCAACACTGAAAGAGGAATAAAGCAAGACAGAACTAGGAATAAAACGGGACTAAATAAGGATATGCTCAGTTCCAGGAGCTCTAAACCTGGCATAAACCAGGACTAAACCAGACTTGAAACAATACTCACAGGGTTGGAGACAGCTGACAGTCCGAGGGCGTCCGTGATGTCAGCTGTCGACATGGCGCGGGGGAGATCCTGTTTATTTGCAAGGATCAGTAAAGCAACGCCCCGCAGCTGATCCTCCTGTAACTGTGAAGAATAAAAAACTTTGTATCTCCGAAAGCACCAGAAACAAAAGGAGTTCAACAGTGACCACCCGCCCGCTTCTAGTAAGTACATTTGTTTGCTAATCAGCTATGGGTTAAGTAATGGTCACTCAACATTGCCTGGGATCCAGAATACTCACTTCTCCAGTAAAAATGTTTATATTGCATAAAGACCTATAATTTATTTTTTTCAGTTTCAGTTTCTCAACTGTTATAAACAGCTAAATTATGAAAACATTTTGCCTGAGTTTAAACATGTTTTTGGACTGAAAACAAAAGCTTTATGGTGTGGACATTTGCTCCCACATCACTGGTTAGTAGGGATGGGCATTCAATTACATTTTCTTAATCGATCGTCGGGAGAATTAACGATTGATTATCAATTAATCATTAACTTTTTTTATATTAAAATGATCATCATTATTATTACTATGTGCACTACTAATCTGCATAAATAAATTCAACTTTACGACATATAAACTATAACCACTCTAGAGCCACATCAGCCCGTTTGACATTATAATGTGTTTAATGCAGATTTGTGCAAGTCTCACAGAAACTAAACTTAAAACCACATGGCTAATTTGCATAAACTAAGCGAAGGAAAAAAACAACAGCTCTTGTGCACTGATGCGACACGACTCAGTGGAATACAAGTTAGTGTGACCATATTTATGTTTGTCAAAACCAGGACACCGTACGGGGGGTGGGGACTCGTCATCGACATTGAGCTACTCTCACCTGGCAACGCTTTTTCATGTTTTCGGTGTCCAGGCAAAGCTTTTTCCCACTGGACACTGAAACATATGTGCTGCTTTGTACACTGTGCACATGGCCTCACACTTGCCCCGACCGCAACGGAAAGCGTGGAATTTCTTGCAAAATCATCGTTAAATACACATTTGCGCTTCGGTACGTTGCAGGCTGACCGTCTGTTTGTGTTTGCTCGCTCCTTCTGAGTGCAGAGAGTTACATGTACAGACCCCTGTTTGGTCACGCTACGCACAGCAACCTACATTCGGTTTGTCGATTAAAATGAACGTAATCGATGAAATTCTTAATGATCAATTATTGATTAATCGACTAATCATGCCCATCCCTGCTGGTTAGCCTCGTTTATATTAGAATTTTTCGAAAACTTTATGAACAAAATAAACTTCATGAGCAGGTTTCAGTGTGGGAGGGACTGTTGAGCTCCATTCAATACAAATCAAGATCAGTTCCTGCCAGCCTCATCATAGTGGCATTTCTCTGCAGCAAACTAGCAAACTAAACACCTAGTGCCTCCGCTCAATTTAATTTCTTTCCAGCGTCAGAAATCAGAATACACTAGACGGTTTGCAAGAAGCCCGGAAGTGCAAGTTTAGGCACCAGCCAATCAGTGAAGAGCCATATATTAAGTATTGTCAACTATTCCCAACATTGAGGATTTAAAGCTGGAACAAAGAGAATGTTTGGTGAATTTTATCAAGGGGAAAGACGTTATTGCCCTTATTCCTATAGGATTTGGGAAAAGCTTAATATACCAGTTAGTCCTGTTAGCGGCGCATTACATCACGACCAAATAGCAGCGACTGGTTAAATGAAAAAAAGAACCTGTCCAACACTGTGAGGTCAGACGGTTTCTACGAAGTGAAAGAGTGATTGAGAGGAGAACTCAGCATAAATATGCAAGGTTTGTGTGTTAAACATTTGTGAATGAAACAAAAACACAAACAACATGATAACACATGAGAAAATAGTGTAATATGGGCCCTTTAAATAACAAATAAACATTATACCATGATTTGTAGTTCTTCTGCTGCGTCTTTGATTCTCTCTCGGTCGTTACTGTCCACCACAAAGATCAGCCCCTGACAACAAACACAACAGAATACATCATGTAATAT